ACCATCGGGGGGCGGGGGCGGCCGGATGGGGGACACCGAGAGCGGCGACGCGGACACACCGGGGATGGCGTGGGGACACACCGCGGGCGGGGAGGGGACGCGGATAGGAGGGGAGACACGCTGGGGGCGGCGCGGGGGGGACACGTCGGGGGCGGTGGCCGCCCTGCCGGGAGCGCGTCCTGCCTCCTCCCGCCCCCTGCCTCCGCTCGTCCCCGTCCCCCCGCGCCGCCGCCGCCGCGGCGGGTGGCCGGGCGGGCGGCAGAGCCGGGGGCCGGGCGGCGGGGCCGGGCGCGGGCAGGATGCTCCGGTGGCGGGGCCGGGCGCGGGGCGTCGCGGTGGCTGTGGCGCACGGGCTGTGCTCGGGCTCGCTGAACATCCTGCTGAAGTTCCTGCTGGCCCGCTACCACTTCGCCTTCCTGACGCTGCTGCAGTGCCTCAGCAGCGCGGCGGCGGCGCTGGGGCTGGAGGCGCTGCGGCGGCGGGGGCTGGCGGCGCTGCCGCCCTTCGGGCCCCGCCTGGCGCGCCCCTTCGCCGCCGTGGCCGCCCTGGCCACCCTGCAGTCCACCCTCACCCTCTGGTCGCTGCGCGGCCTCAGCCTCCCCATGTATGTCGTCTTCAAGCGCTGCCTGCCCCTCGTCACCCTGGTCACCGGCGCCCTGGTGCTCCGCGACGGCATGCCTTCGCCCGGCGTCCTCGTCGCCGTGCTCATCACCACCTGCGGCGCCGCGCTGGCCGGTGAGCGCGACCGCGACCGCACCGAGGGGACGGGGCGGGACGGGACAAGACGGGACGGGACGGGACGGGACCGGACGGGACGGGACAAGACGGGACGGGACGGGACGGGACCGGACGGGACGGGACCGGACGGGAGGGGACGGGCGGCCGCAGCCGTAGCCGCTCCCTCCGGGCTTCGGGCGGGGGACCGGGAGGGCAGCGCCAGCCCGGGGGGAAAGACGCGAGCACACGGGGGACGTGTCGTTCTGGGGGACAGCTGCGGCCCCACGGAGGCAGATGCAGCACCACGGGCGGGCAGGTGCAGCCTTGCAGGGGTGGATGCAGCCCCGCTGTGATTGGCACGTTCTTGCAGAGCTCGCTACAACCTTTTGGAGATAGGTGCATCCTTATGCGGGCCCGTGTAGGAGTAGCTGCGACCTTATTGCAACCCTACTAGGGAAGGTGCAACCTTATGGAGGGAAGGGTAGTCTTAGGGCGGGTGGGTGAATCTACAGGGGAAGATGTGATGTTCTGAGAGCAGCTGCAAGCCCGTGGGACAACTGCTGCCTTGCTGGGGCAAGTGTGATCTTATAAGGGCAGGTGCAAGCTTGGGGGTCAGCTACAGCCCTCTGGGGCCAGGAGGACCCGTGCTGCTTTCCAGCCGAGGTGTAGTAGGTGGGGTGGGAGGCAAAGCAGGCACTTTGTGGCCCGACAGCACTCCTGGGCTGGGGGCTGCCTCAGACAGCAGAGAACATGCAGAGTGTGTAATTTAATCTGCAAAAAGACTGACGGGGGCTTGGGAAGGAGGCTGTTGCTTCAGGGATCCCACAGGGCACCATGGCTAGAGGGTGCAGAATGGCCAGTGGGTTGGAGGGCAGGCAGCCCAGCCAGCCAGAGCTGGCATGTGTCTGTGCTAGCAAGAGGATGTTCAGGGTTGCTCTGCATGCGTGTGTGTGTGTGCGTGCACGGTTTCAGCTACAAATCTTTCACAGTGTCTTCACAAAAGGGAGAAGACAATCTGATTTTGGCTGTGGGATTTAGAAGGGGTATGAAAAACACTCAATATGTTTGCAGCTTTAAAAAATGCGTAAGAGATTTGTTGGGAGCCAAGACTTGAGACAAGCATGACAAATCCTAGGGGTTATGGAAAGTGCAATGATGCCTGTTTGCTAAATATCCCTCCAGTCTAAAATGGTGCTCTCTTTCTGTCTCCTGTGCAACACCTATGCTTATTTCTCTCTGTGACTCTCGTGACAGGAGCTGGTGACCTGACTGGGGATGCTATGGGCTATGTGACAGGTGTGCTGGCCGTGCTGATACATGCTGCCTACCTGGTGCTCATTCAGAAAACCAGTGTAGACAGTGAATATGGACCCCTGACAGCTCAGTATGCCATCGCTGTTTCGGCCACCCCTTTCCTCATCATCTGCTCCTTTGCCAGCATGGATTCCATCAACGTCTGGTCCTTCCCAGGGTGGAAGGACCCTGCCATGGTATGCATCTTTATTGCTTGTGTCCTGATTAGCTGTGCCATGAACTTTACCACCCTTCACTGCACTTACATTAACTCGGCTGTGACCACCAGCTTTGTAGGGGTGGTGAAGAGCATAGCCACCATCACGGTAGGCATGGTGGCATTCAATGATGTGGAGCCCACAAAGTTATTTATAGCTGGTGTTGTGGTCAACACCTTGGGGTCTATCATTTACTGCGTGGCCAAGTACGTTGAGACCAGGCGGCAGAGCAACTATGAGGACCTGGAGAAAGAAGCTAGAGAAGAGGAGGGGAAAAGGCAGGCTGGAGACCAAGCTTTGTTTGCCATGGAGAAAATTTCCCAGGGGAAGGGGGCTGAGGAAGCAGCAGTGGAAGAATCATCCACAGGGCAGAGACAGAGTGGAGAGGAAGAGAAGGACGTCACTGAGAAATCAGCCAAGGCACTTGTGGTTCAGGAAAAATCCACCATCACACAAGAAGTGAACAGAAGCTCGCTGAAAGAAGCCTATCTTGGAGTATGGAGGTTGGTGAGGGGTGCTAATTATATAAAGAAGGATTATTTGATAGAAAACGAAGAGCTACCAAACCCTTAAAAAGCAGATTTGAAAACCTATTGTGTGAGGACAGACACCTGGTTTTCTGTACAGGGGGAAGGCAGAGCATACATTTCCACATCAATGCTTACAAATCCAAATCATTCAGGATGACTTTACCTCATTGTCAAAAAGCAAAAGGTTATAGTTTGCTCATGCTTTGGGCTTTCTTTCAGCTGCTTTCAGTATGTCACTTTAGACCCACCTCAGCTAAGGTGCTGACACTCTGCTGCAGACACAGAGTCAGCTGGGTAAGGGGAAGCCACAGGGTGCTTGCCCAGCAGCTGGGAATATGAGGGATATCTGTGCCATTGAGATACTTGGCTGTACCAGTGACACAGCAGTGGCCTATACCTTAGATTGTGTCTGGAGCCTAGTGATTTTAACACATTTGGAGGCTCTGTCAGTGTGCTTCTGTATCTGTATCCATCTATAGGTACTCTACGTAACTAATTCCTACAATATAAACTCGTATTAACTGTATTTTTGTGTTCCTCTGTGTCAATACAATTGCAACAGAGCTATAGAGGTTGTGCCACTTTAGTTATATTGGTGTAAAATCGCTCTCTTATCTGATGAACTGAAGCCCTCCAGGCCAAGCCTTGGACCTGGTTTAGATTGGGTACTTTGTGTCTTCAGTAGAAATCCTTTAGTCTTTTGGTGGTGTACAGGAAAGCAGAACCAGATCTGAGCTTCTGAGAAGCTTTGACTGGCAAAAGAAAGATGTTTAACTATGAGCTTTAACTATTCGTAGCATTTGGAATATTAGCTTGACTCAAATAAAAGAGTTTGGAAATGTTGGTATATATTGATTGGATTTGGGAGGGCTATAAAAATTTGGGAGTAAGTGTGTGCCTTGTGTTATCCCTCCTTGTACCCTAAAGTCGGATGAACCAGAGCCTGGACTGGAACCCAGGTGTCCTCTCCATTCATTCTCTCATGAGCAGAGGCTGAGAGCAGAGCTGAGGGACACCAACTCTGAAGGTGCCAGGGGTGCCCGTGTGCTGGTATGTGGCTTTGTGCATATCTGCCCTCGCTGTCCCTGTGCTGTGCTGTCCAGTGGGACAAAGTGCGGGCAGGCAGCAGGAGCTGCCCGGTGCTCTGGCAGATCCCATGGCCGAGTGCTTGGGAAGCTGGATGCTCAGGGTGTTCAGCACGGGGACACCCATGGCTTTGGCAGAAGCAGCTCCCAATGCCCAGACTGTCCCTGTCCCCATGGGCTGCGAGGGGCAGAGCTGCCTTTCCCCTTGGGAACTCAAGCACTCTTGTGCGAAGTGAGAAGCAGGCACTCCAGCGAGGCCTCTGCTGAACGTGCTAGTGTTTTGTCCCACATCTGTTTAACTGAAAAGACTGTGGAAACAAATGTTTGAGTGTTTCTTTGCCTGAAGATATCCGTTTGGTAGGTGGGAGTACTTGGGTGGAACCTTTGCTCGGGCTAGACAGTGAAAAGATTTGACTATGAGTACTTCTCACCCCTGAAGGGTGCTGCAGCCATTGAGGCCACCTGGACAACGACTGAAAAAAGTTGTTACCATTTTCTGAAAAAATGAACCAAGTTTGTTGTTGTTAGTTTTAATATTGTTATTGTTGTTATTAATAATTATTTATTATTATCTATTAAGCCACTGAACTGAAAATCAATTATTCCCACAACGCTAATTAAGCAGTGCCTGGCCCAGTGCTCTCTCCAGCTGAAAAGGCAGCATTAGCTTCACAGCGTGTTCAGTCTGAAGTGAGCAATTTGCCCAGCAGGGAATATTTGCAAAACTGCTCTCTGGGGGAGCTTTAGGTTCTTGTCAATAAATGCAGGCAGAAACATCAGGTCCTTTGGCAATGTGTTTTTGGAATGATTGCAGAAGTTGGCTGACCTGGCATCACCCATGAATTTTGAAAGAGACAGCTAAAAGGACATTTATGCTAAAAGCTGCTGAGCTGGGGGATGGGGCACGGAGCTCTGTACATCACATGTTATGTATAGCTTGTGTTTAAGAGGTACTGGCTGTATGCCAAAATACGTTTACCTTCTGTTCGAGCTCCATATGGGATCTTTTCAATAAAAGTACTGTTTATTGTTTCTAGGCTAATGTAATAGGGCTTTTGTTAGTTTTTCAAATGCATCTTAGACTAAAGAAGTTTGTGCCTATGACTTATAGTTGCTGTATTACTGAACTCATTGCGATATTGAACTGCATTGTAATCATACAGATGGCTGGAGAGAAACCCACAATTCTGATCTGTCCCCCTTGTGCTCAGTGTTTTCTGTCCACAAAAAATGTGGATCTTACCACCTGGATGCCAGTCTTAGATCCCGTAGTGCACACACCGTGTTTGACACGTGCTGTAGAAAGCTCTCCCACTGGACTCTTGTTTCAGGACTTTTTCCTGGGGGGAAGTTAAATGTTTTGCCACTTACTGTTGTTAAATTGTAGAAATCTGTGGAAATTCAAACAGTTTTGACTATTAAAAAAGCTGCTGTTACAATGTTGTACATTTGCATGTATAGTCGAAATGTGATTATATTGTATTCTGTTTTTACCTGTAAATTCCCTAAATTAAAATGGGAATTTGGCAAATGCAATCCAGTTTTCCAGTAACAGACACTGTCACACAATGAAATAAAAATACTGCCTCGTGCTGAGGTATTTTAATAGCATCAGGGGAAGACGGTAGAATGAGATGTGGGAATAAAATGCACTGCTTTCCAAAAGCCTTCTGCTTTTCTTATTGTTGCTACTCCAGGGTGCTCATTTTTGCTTCATTTATAGTTATTCTTGTGCCTTTATACCGTCCAAGTTTCCTCAACATGTGACCACACACTATAAATACTGTCATGGACAGAGGGACTAAAGACAGACAGAGGAAAACAGGATTCTGAAGTGCTGGGACCTCGGTACAGCTCAAAATTTCTGTGGTGCTCAGTGGTGATTTTTTTGATTACATATTTAAGATGATTTAATGTCACTGGTATAGCTGTTATAACTCTAGAATTAATAAAAGTAAGATGATGCTCATTAATAATAGTTCCATCATAAAATGACAGCATTATTAAAGGACATAATATTAATTTCATTTTACAATGGTAAGTATTTGTGTTATCATCTATGTCTCATGGCAGTGCTAGAAGATGACTTCAGCATTAATTTTTACCTGTTTGCTTTGGATGAAAGGTACATAATATGCCTGTGGCTGAAACTGGGTTGTGCCAGACCAGGCTGTGGTCGGTGGTTATTGCCGAATTCATCTTAGAGCTCCACATAAATGTGCCTGCAGGTTGATGCAGAGAAGGAGACCATCCTTGTTGTCAGATAATAAATGAACCTAATGCACAATGACTGCTTTGAGAATAAACAGGAATTTCAGTGTCAACACGTTCTTGAGTAACACCTGCTGTAGCACTCCTAGACGTGCACGTAGGCGCACATGCACGCACACAAATACACATGCAACAGGACAACAAAAGCCAGACTGGCTATCTTTTGTGAAATGCATTTTTCTCTCTAAGAAACTAAAGAGAGGACTGTTTATTTTGAGGCAGGTACAGTTAAAATTTCTAAGGATAAATTAAAAATTTGCATGCATCACTAATCTTGTATTTGGCATCACTTCCACATGGAAAATATGCAGCAACCAACAAACAGCCATCTGAGAATGAAAGAAATTTTACAGTTTGCTAACCAACACTTCAGATCCCTGCATATGTCCAGGGATACTTTACTGCCAGTGTTGAATAGCCTCTTGTAATTCTGTTTGCTGCAAAAATGCCTGTTTGCTGCAAAGGCTTTAGTAGGCAAAAAGGTGCCAGCCCTTCAGCTCTGGTCTCTAAATTAACATTTGATCATTTTGCTGCTAATCACGGAGGGTTAACGCCTTAACACTCTCTGCCTGTGTCCTGTATAATTTCATGTATTACTTTGAGGTTTCTTCTGTGTTTTTCTAACTAGAGTCTCTAAGTGCAGCAGAGGCAATCAGCTCTGCTCTCAATGAGCTGCTGTATTCATGCTTCAGTTGCTTGCTGAAGGTCGTCAGGAAGATTTTCACTTCAACCCCGTTCCTGTCAGGAATTGATGAGCATGCATATGCCTCTTTTCTCATCTTTTGTTGCTGCTGTTTCTCCCAAATCTTTTTTCCAGTGTCCATCCTGAAAATCTCTGCAAGTAATGGAGGACTTGCCACGGAGGCTTCTGCTACTTTTTTTTGTTTGTTTGTTTGTTTTTGTTTTTTTTTTTTTTTTTTTTGGTTTGTTTTTTGTTTTTTTTTTTCTAGAAGGGCAGGGAAGGCATGGACCAGCAGGATTTTGAATGTCCAGATTGCTGCTTTCTACCTTTGTGCATGTTTCTGCCCACCAGCTCCCTGCATCCCAGATCCCTATATAGCTCAGCCCTGGCTGTGTCCCAGCTTCTCGTGGAGCTGTGCCCGGGCTGTGTCCCAGTGTCCTGTGGAGCTGGGCTGTGCACGGGCCAGGTGCTGGAGTGAGGACACTGAAACCTGCCTGTGCCTGCCCCTTGGAGATTTATTACACACACAGAGCCAGAAGATTTTTCATAGTAACAACGTTTTAAGTAATAAGGCTATAAACCTGCTGTTGAGCTAGACTCAATTTTTTTTTATAGGTTGAGACTTAAGAAAGCCAGTCACAGTCCAGCTTTCTTCAGTGCTGGACATTGTGTTTGAACAGAAGAGAGGCAGCCTGAGATGAAAACCCCGGTAGAGAGCATGAAAACAATGCTCAAAGAGGTACATGGGATGGGATAAAGATGGATGGGGAAAATATGTAAGCTACAAATTAGGATGGATGCAATAGTTTGCAGAAAAGAAAAATGTTCTTGCATTAAAAAACCCAAGTGACAGCACTGGAAACCAATGGCCAAAGAGTGAGGTGAATCTGCAGTGAATGCACTTGAATTTGGGCTCTGGAAGAGCAGGGCACATGAAGGAGAGAGGAAGAGTGAGGGAGCTGGCTGGGGGAAAGATGGCTGCATCTATTCTTTGTAGTTCTGTGATCTTTTTTTCTTACTGGACAGTTGTAAGGCATTTTGTTCTGGGCATATTAATCTCGTTAATAAGTTTGTCTTTTATAAAGTAAAAGCAATGTCAGCTCTGTTCTGAAAATCACAGTACTTTTTTTATTAGGTGCTATTGATTTTTTGCCTGACAAAACAAGACGATTCCAACAATTATTTAACAGAATTCAGGTTTTCTCTGATAAAGAGCAATAACTTCTGAAGGCACAGACCATTTCTTACCTGACATGG